TTCTTTTCTTTCTTATTATATATATATATATATATATATATATATAATATAAGAATATAAGAAAATATAAGAATATAAAATTTTAAAATATATTATTATATTTTTCAGTACAAAAAATATTAAGATAAATATTTAAGATAATTTAATTTTTGCCTTTTTTTTAATTTATAATTTTATTACTTATATTTTTATTTAAATATAATATTTTTATTTAAATATAATTTTAATATATTTGTTACTTTTATTTTAATTTTTTTTGAAGTTGTTATTTTACCTTTACCGACTAAATATTAGTCGGCGATTATAATTACAAAATTTAAAAATTGTGCTTCATATCTGAGGGAAACTTGGGAGGGAAACTTCGGAGGGAAACTTTATTACTTCTTTCTTTTTTCTCTCTCTTTCTCACTCTCTCACGCCTCTGCCCTCCTCCAGCTCTCTCTCTCGCCTTTGTCTCCATCGTCGTCGGGTACGGGAGCATCACTGCCATCGCACACGAGCACCACCGTCACTGCGTATGCGATTCCACTTTGATCGACTCAGCCCTTCCTCTTTGATCTCTCTGAAATTATCTCTAGATCGACCAAGGATCTCCGGGCCACCATTATCACAGGTAAGAAAACTTCCATTTCTCTCTCTATTTTTCTGAAATCTGGTTCTTCTCTAATCTGATGAGTGAATTAGTTTTGAATTCAGTTCTGAAATGGTTTGATCTTTATTTGATGATTTTGGATTGTTTTTTCTCTCATCTGTACAGTTTCTCTGTATATAGCAAAGATGAATCATGCTATATACTTTTTGTGTCTACAAGGTGCTTGACAAAATGTCACAATGGCAACTGAAATTTGCATTTTGTTTAGGTGAGTCTTTTGACTGAAAATGGAAACACCAAGGATGATTTGAGGCTCCCCACTGATGATGCTCTGCTCTCCACTGAAAATTCTAGCCATGACTGGTATATTTCTTTAGCCAAGTGGCTGAAATTTCTATAAATGATTCCAATCATAGAGCCCTTAACACATGTTAAAGGCATTTATCCATGTGTTTAGGTACTCCACAATAAAAATAAACTTGGGCCGAGCTTAATTTTATGCTAACAATTCCACCTGTTTGCAGGAATTACAACATTCCAAGGCAGCTGCACCTTTAGAACAAGACTGTTTTTAGATCTGTACAGAACGAAATTTTTGGGAACAACTCTGCCCCTAAACTGACCTTGATGCCTCAATGCCACTCAGCTTTGTGTTAAAACGATTCGTTTTCTACTTGCACCTTTTGTTCAATCATTGCCTAAATTCTATGTTTTTTTTGGTTGTTGAGAGAGAGCCTAAACAACAGGAAAGGAAACTCTGAATTTTATGTTTTGGATTTCAGAAATGTAAAACTAATATTCGTCTTTGTCAAAATTTGTATGGCGCTTTTTATTTGTTTATTTTTTTCTTGTGGCCTTTTCTCCCTTCTTTATTTCTTGGTCTCTAATATTGATAATTTGAATGTGCAGAGTATGAATTTTTAGCTCTGGGTTTTTGTGAATTTGATTGAGATTAATTGTTATTTGTGACAGTGTGTCAAATTAATTCATGTTGGTATGTCATATTGTTGAACATTGATCTTGGTATAAGGGTAGTTGTTATTTATTGCTTATAAAAAAAAATGGTGATTATTGTGCATTATTAATAGTAATAGCTGCTGTACAGAGTTCTATACTTGGTTGTCTAGTTCATTGGGGCAATAAGGAAATTAATGGCTGATGATTTTAGGAGAGTTTATTTTTGTTGTGGTCTTGTTGTTTCTAGCAAAATAAATAATAAACGGCTAATCTTTGTGGTTCAAATCCTATGGTCCTTGTTGAGCGGTTACCCTTGACCCAATCCTTTTGTCTAATTCACTTAATGCTTTATGTTTGTAAACATTGATCCCAGAATAGGAAAAGGTGAAACGAGTCAAAAACTTAACAACTTCTTTCATGCGTTAAATTATCATTTAAAAAAAATAAAAATAAAAATTTAACATGAGAGGGCCCCAAGCAGGCTGGAATTGTAAGTCGTACATGGTTTTTCTAAGCATTTGTTATTGGATTTAAAAACAATCCTAAGCAGCTCATTAGGTGCTTTTATTTCCAGAGTTGGAAGATTATTTTTTGGGAAAATTGCAAATAAGTGGTGTCTTCACAAAATATTTACAAATTCATCAAAAAGTTTATAACTTTAATTATTGAAGTTGATAAAGTTACCACCGATTTGTATTTTTTTTAGAACATGCGCTGAAGTGCAATTTTCCCATTTTTTTCATCAAAAACAAGACTTAATTTTATGCTAAATATGTGTGAATATGTGAATTGTTGCTGAATGAAATTCATTCCCCATCATTTGTGAAAACCATGAATTGACACTCAAATGCTTTCATGTTGGAGCTCTTTCATTTGGTCAAATAAAAGAAAACTACAAAAGCCCTTTGGCTTATATATTGCTATTGTTTCTAAATTAAATTGAATTTTGATTGTTTTCTAAAGAGTTGTATAATCTTTTATAACAATATTTGCATCTGTTTTTGTTTTCATTCAGGTCATTGACAGGTCATTTGGCTTTGATACTGCTGTTGAGGAAGCTCAGCGAGCCATCAATGCTGCGCATGTTGAAGCTGAAAGTGTTGAGAATGGTGTTGGTGTAGTGAAGCTAATGGGCCGCTACAGTGGTAAGGCTGACTCCCATATGTTTCAGTGGTCATAACTGCATGGCTAAATTACATAGCTATACGTGCTAAGATGTAATCTAATTGGACATTTGTGTGGCAAAAGTGTGATTAATATATTGTTTAAAGTCAAATCAAAAGTGTGATTAATATATTGTTTAAAGTCAAATCAACACAACGATTAAGGCCCATTTTGGCAACATTGGTAAAATTTCAGTTTTTTGACTTTTTAACTTTTTTAGCCAAAAAAGTCATCTTTTTTATCCAAAACAACCCAGATTTTTACCAAAAAAGCCACCAAAAAAGCTAAAAAATCAAGTTTTTACCAACTTCTCAAAACACTCCTAATTATGATAAAAGTTGGGGCCATGTAGAATTAAAAGAAAGGTGTGCAAGATTTGCTGAAGGGAAAAGAGATAAGCCATCTGTGCTGTCTAGAGCCTAAGGGGGGTGAATCATCAACTTAGGGTCATAATTACAGGGTGATTCACCACCCAGAGATATATATATATATATATAGCGGGGCGTGTGAAGTCAGTAAAAATGAAAGGAAAAAGGGGGGAGGAGAAAGGGGAAGTAAGGAAACAACCTCAAAAACTCGGCAAAAATAAGAGGAAAATAGTAAGAATTAATATTAAGGTGAGTTATATTATACCTTGAGTTATCATAACATATTTTACGTATGGTTCGAGTAGTCATAATTTATTTTATGCACTCCATGTTCTATAAATTATATTAGTATTTTAATTACGTTAGTTATTTTTTAAACCCTATTTGCTTAAATTGAAATCCATAGATATGATTGTAATGAAGTTAATTATCTATTTAACTATTTTCTTACTTTCATTTCGCCTCCGCATGCGTTACTTAATTTGTTAAAATTAAAATTAATTAGCAAGTTATGATTCAAGCAACCAAGATTGGGTCGTGACAATTAGGCTCTAATTATAACGGACAATACTTTCAAATGGGAATTAGATTGCATGTCTCACATAAATGTATATGTACATATATAGATATTGTGACTCCACACATACGTGACCCCTACAACTCCCATTCTTATCCCAATCACTCATAATGTGAGGCCAACACATACAAAAGTAAACCCTACACACATTAAGGGCCAAAATCAAATTTGGGGTCATGAAACTCCAAAAAAAGGAAGTCCCGAACATTTCTCTATAACATATTTAGAACACTAACTACATATTTGGGGATTTAAATTTTACTCAGGTTTTATTTGGATAACAAATTTGAGTATAGATTGGGAAAGGGAAAAGAAAAATGTAGGTAAAATACAGTTATATCTCCTTAATATTTTACGTATCTTTTCGCTTTCTTTATAACATTTTACCTACATTTTCGTTTTTTATGCCAAATCTCTACCTAAATACATGTTCCAAACATAACCCTTAAACAACAAAACGGACAAGAGCAAGGCAAACCTGAAAGTTTGTGAGCTTGCTCTGGGGTAAGTATAGCTGAGAAGCCTCTGAAGCTTTTAGTGTAGTGATGAATTGCAACCTTTTGTGCTCCCTCAAAACTGCTCAAAATCCATTCAAACAGAACCATTGAGTGTTTTTTTAACAACTCATACCGAACCTCTTCTTCTTATTCTCCTTCGTCTTCCATTTTTATTTTTATTTTTTCAGTATTCAATGTAGAAATCGCTAATATCAAAAGCTGAAATCGCAAACAAAGCATTCCAAAATGAATCATTTCATTTCAAGTGTGGTTTCTTATCTCACAGAGGTATGTATGTATGTATCTGTGTGTTATATATGTGTCTTATCGTTTTTTTGTTATAAAGCAATGAAACAATCTCAAAAATTTTATTATCAAACACATCTTTGATTAAGAGGAGATTTGGATTTGAAGGTGCATAATTGCATAACGGTGGCAACATCACTCCTCTGAATTTCTGCAATCATAGTTGTTAAATCGGGATATGAATCAACTATCATTTTTTTGAATTGTGTATTGTAAGATATTTTAACATCAATAAAAATAGTTTAAAAAATAAATAGAGTTCTAATAAATTCATCAATAAGTATAGAAACACAAATATCAAATGTAGAATGTGATACATATGTCTTACATGGGGAGGGTCTTACATGAGGAGGGTCCCATATAATGTGAGACCCACCTCATGTGAGATATTTGTGTCACATTTTGTATTTGGTATTTATGTTCCTAATATTAATTTTTTTTTATAAAATAAAAAAATTACAGGAATAAAGGTTCCTTGAAAGATAAAATGTAATATCCAGACTTTCCTTCATTTTTCTCAGATTTACTGGTGCAGGCTTCATTGCAATGTATGCTACACTTGCCAGCCGAGATGTGGACTGTTGTTTGATTCCAGAATCACCCTTCTTTCTGGAAGTGGTAGTGGATGTAATAGATATTGGTGAACATGTTCTAAAACTCGTTAATTTTGTTGTTTGGGTAAGCTAGCTTCATTTGGTACTGTTAATTCTGTTGAATTGCATGCATTTAAATTCATGAATGTAATGAAACATTAGTGAATTTTTATCAGAAATGTTGGAAAAGGCAATAGCAACTCCTCCAACTGTTTCACCAATATGGTGTTCCCCATTACTTGAGGTATGTGTAGAATTAAAATTATGTCATAAAATTCTCTACTCAACTTTTTTAATGATCCCATTGAATGAAATTTCTAACTACGCTAGTTCTACTATATTTGAAGTCCTGTATAGGAGTAATTTGGGTATGTATAACTGTGTCATATATATGTGTGAAAAAAAAAAAAATATATATATATATATATAACCACCACAACAAAAAAGGTCTATGGTGACGAAAATACATGATGAAAAAATATTTCATCTCCAAATATACATGTTTTAGTGATGAAAATAAGATTTCATCTCCAATCGTAATATTTTTAGGGACAAAAACAAAATTTCATCACTAAATGCTTAAAATAAATAAAATAATAAGTGACAAAAAAATTTTCATTTCTAAATTTTATTTTTCGTCACAAAACAAATTCCCGCCTTAAGAAATTTTGGTGGAAAATCCAAATTACTCTACCCAAATCACTTCTCTTTCGCACTCTTTCTCTC